ACTAACATGGCGTAATCGTTCCAAGTCGTCATTCTTTTCATTTCGATATACTGTTTAGGGGTTTATAATATGATTTCTTATAATATCATTTCTTGTTCATTAAAGGAACATATAAAAAAAAACCTCGTGTCTGTCATTAATTTTCCAACTGGGCATCCATTTCTACGAATTATTTTTTGCGAATAGTGAATGGCTTCCGAGGGTAAAACTGGAGGTCGTGATTGTGGAGCAACAAAAAAAAAAATAAATAAAAAATAAAACAAAAAGCAATAGCAACAATAAGAGCAAAACCAACGAAAAATCTTATGAACGAACAGAAAAGTTAAAGAAATAAAAACAAAAAAACAACAAAGTAATTGCAAACGAATGAAGGTAATAAGCAAACAAAAGGTGACGATGGACGTGGCAAGCGCGCGCGGATAAGGACAATACGGCGGCAATGTGACCAAGAAGCCACCGTGATCCAGCAAGAGGGAGGCACAGAAATCAATTGGAATATGTTTATGTTGCTGGGTCAGGCCCGACCGCAATGGGGGAGGGGGTATTGGGGGTTTGAACCCCCCATGCATACAAATTTGCTATCATTTAGTTTACGATAATAACTGTAAAAAATATTTTAATATTTCTGTAAAGCTTGTTCACTGAGGTAGCCTAATGGTGACAACGTTATTTTACCTTGCAATTGGGGGAATGAAGGGTATTGTGGATTCAGCGGCTATTGGGGGAAACCTATTAAAAAACGAGTCAGAAAATTTTTCTCAAAACGGCATCGTAATCTAGAGGCCAAAATTAAGTTTACGTGGTTGGTTGCATAGCAGTGATATTTCAAAACTTTAAAATTTACCTACAGTGTTAATTATTTATTGAAACGTACAAAATAAAAAAAAATTACACTAGCGAGTATTGTGGTTGTTTCATTTCGTATTTAAAGTTGTAGATAAATGCGGTGATGAAGAAATAAATAATAGTGATGACGACAAAAAAAAGAAGGCAAAAGTAAAGATAAAGACGAAAATGGAGACAATGAGAAATACATAAGAATTAGGGTAACGAAAGGGTAAGAAAATGTATTGAAATTTTTCGATAGGAATCGAAGTAAATTCAGTCATAAAAAATTTAGTTATCGAAAGTTATCAAGGTACCGAAATTTATTGCATCCTCGAAGTTTATAGTTATTGAAAGTTATCAAGTTACCGAAATTTATCGAATCATCGAAGTTTATAGTTATCGAAATTTATCAAGTTATGAATGTTATTGAGTTATCGCAATGTATTATTCAAATTGATCAATGTTTATTGAGTGGTCGAAATTTATAGACACAGAAAATTAGTTGTCGAAATTTATGGATAGTTATCGAGCTATAAAAATGTATGGGATTGTCGAAATGTGCCAAGTAAATGAAATTCATCAAGTTATCGATATTTATTGCATTATCATTATTTATAGTTAACGAAATTTGTCGATTTATCGTAATGCACCGACTTCTTTGAACTTATCGGATTATCGATATTTGTTGATCAACTGAAATTATTGGATTTATCGAATCGAAGTTTTTGGAATTTTAAAGTACAGCGTGCTATCGAAATTTTAAGTTATATAAGTTTATCGAGTTATCGCTGCTTTCGAAAAATATGGGGCTATCAAAACTAACCGCGTTATCGAAATTTATAGAAGTATCCAAAGTTTATCGAGTTATCGAAATTTAGCGAGCTCTTGAAACGAACAGTTATAGAAATTTATCGAAAATCACTCAACTCAGGTTAGAAAACCTCTCCAAGGGCCTTAAAAAACTAGAAAAGCGGTCGAATTTCGACAGTAGCTGGCTGGCACTCTAGCATGCATAATTAAATACAATATGCTGAATACTCTAAATAAAACAATGATATTCTTGGTTATTGCGAATGACTTTACATAAACTGCCTTCCCCAAAGAGAAATCCTGCGGCCGGCCCTGAGCTGGGTATACATATATACATATGTACGTATATGCTTTTGAGTATGTACATATATACACAAGTAAATATGTATATATATATAGTAATGCAGGTACTTATGTACATATTTATTCTTTTGATTTGCAAATGTATGTAGATATCTAATATGTTGCCGCATAACAGAAAATGTAAATTTTTGCAAGAAAGCAAAAAACAAGCAGCATAAATTGCGCAACACTACAACAACTACAAACAAAAAAAAAACAGTCATAACAAGAGCCGGGGGTGACAGTCGATAACTTTTTTGTTTCCTTAATTGAATGTATGTATGTATATGCATTGGGGTGGTCATTAAAAATATCACCATCTTAATTTTTGAATGGGACACCCCTTTATTTTGTTCTACGTACAAAATATATACATATTTTATGCGCTAAAATTCGACACGATTTTGGTTTGAAATATGATAAATTTGCATTTTATTGAAACTTATTAGTTTAAATCCATACACTCGCTGACTTATGCTGGTTAAAGTCAAAAATTTTTCCAATTTTGCCATTTAAAAAAAAGTTATTTTTTTTCAAAACCCGGTGCGACCCTTAACATGTTTTTTTTTAATTTAAAATTTTCATGAATTGCCTTTTTTTGTGCGTAGAACAAAACAGAGCTGTGCCACATGACGTTGCTGTTTTTAAGGACCACCCTAATATGCATGCATAGATATAAATATGTAATTATGCTTCCACACATGTCTTTGTACGGCACTTGGTATCTTCCAGCGACAAGTGTATGCAGCCAGTGTGCACGCTTGATTACCAATCAACTGGTAGTGCAATTTTTCAATTTAAATGCACAACAAAACATTTTTTTATAATTGATTATCTTGGATGCATAGATGCATGCTGAGATATGTATGTGGATGCATACTTTTACACTGACACAAAGAAGCGTTCGCAAGTGGTTTTTTTTAATTTTCACAATTTTTTTACATTAAAATTTTTTGCTAACTTTTTATAAAAATAGCGATCCTTTTATAACGAAAATGTTAAAGGTTATTTGTTTTTTTTTTATTTATGGCCTTATAAATGAGTAGTGGGCTTAACACATAAAAAAGTGGTAAAAGTAACAACAGTTTGTAAGGCGAACTTAGCACAGTGTGTATTGCCCACTGGCTCAGTCAGCCAGGGTCGTTGGATCGAATCCCACTGCAGAAGTCTGATGAGGGGATGTGGTGATCTCTGGAATAGCAGCTATAACCATTTATAAATTATTGTTATTTTTTTCATCATAGTTTTCATTAAAAAAGCTCAATAAAATTGTTGAATAGAAAACGTTAAAGTTTAAAACTGTGCAAATGTTAGCAAAATTGAAAAATTTGTCATGAAAATTTAAGTTTTTTAATTGAAGTTTTTAGAAAACGCAAAAATATTCAGTTTAATAACCCACGAAATTTGAAGTGTAAGCTAGAACGGCTGAAACGTTTCCAAAAAAATTTAAAAATCAGTTTGCACTTTATTGTACTAAAACATGAATTAGGTAGTGGCATTAAAGAAAAAAAACAACATTTATTTGTAGTTTGTTGTTGCTTCTAAATAAAAAAAAAATAAATGAAAAAAAATATATATAATTGACGCGACTTTCCTTTTGGATAAATTTATTTGCTTCCAAAAGCTCCGATCCATCCTTTGTAAGGCCCAATGATGAGCTTTCTGCTTCTGAGTTAAGCAAATGTTCCGAAAGCTGGTTTTCAATCGCTTATTTTTATGCAGAAAGGTTTCACATGCAAACACCTTTTGACAATTTAGAATTCTTGTGAAAAAATAAATATCGGACAGCTCAGAGACCAAATAATTAAACAAAAAACCAAATCTCTAATCTGCTCTAATGGTACTATCTGTTCAATATGCCTTGCTCTAACCCCAAAAATTTTCCAGAATATTCTGTTAAAAAAGGTTTAAGTTTTGAGAAAAATCTGTTGAATTTTTCTAAATTTTGGACTTTTAGTTTAAAATTTTGTTTAATGATTTTTTTATTATAAAAATAAAGCTATGACATGTTAGAAAAAAAATGTAACTTCTAAAACATTTGGATAAAATCACCTTTGGAAGGCTTTTCCTTGAGTTACTATAGGTACATAAATATGTATGTATATAGGTACAACGGTTGCATTCATGTATGTATGTAGTTTTAGAACGCTACGCTCCAACAACAACTTTGCAAGAAAAAAGAACGGGTGTGTATGCGCAGCATCGATGATGACAGAAGCATTGCAAGAGAATTGGCAAAACGCGAATGTAGCAAAAACCAGGGCAGTGATGACGAAGATGGTTGCAACAAGGGACCCAAAACAAAAAAAAAACAAATCAAGAAACAGCAATTACTGCGAGTACTGCTAAACTTGCGCATTAGAAAGAAGTTCATTCACAAAATTTTGCACGCCCGTTTTGGGGGCGGCGCACCGGATGGTGTGTAAAAAGCAATGAAACGAAAATTTTTTTTTATAACTGTTTTGCAACATCTCTTTTATGACTTTTTCACTTCACAATTTCACTTTTTTTACGAACATGTATGTATGTAGATTTACTTAAAACACGCCATTAATTCGTTTTAATTATTTCTTGCTATTTATTTTGCACGGTTTTTTCTTTTCCTTTGACGTTTCATTCACCTTTTGCTTATAATAAAAACCAGCGAACAAATTACTTTGACGTGTTATTACTTTCGCGAAAAGCACGGCTTTTTTGTGGTTTCCCTTTTTTATTTGTAAATGTATATGTATGTACATATGTATGTAGATATTTTCATACAATTTTGGTCTGATTGCGATAACGATTCCGCTGCCATCAGAGCAATTAGCGGAAATTATATTTTTTTTAAAGGAAATTGAAAGCGTATAAACTTTCCCAGTGCAAACACAAAGAAATGGAAAAATGGCCAGTTATGGACACAATCGGCCACTTTGATTCGGTTGACGGCACTACATACAAATTTAAATACATATGGTCATATGTATGCGCGTACATACATATGCAAATACTTGTGCATATGTATGTATCTAAACACTTACACAAATGTAAATAAGTATCTTTTTAGTATGCAGATATATATATGTATATGTACGTGGTTTCACATTGCTGCCGACGAGTGTGGTACACGCACTCAATTCAGACGTCGAAAAACAACTGAGGAGGCTCCAACGACTGGCTGTTCTGCTGGCGCTTTACCCAATTCGTAAAACAGACAGCGACGAGACGGACGACAGCAATGGGTGGGTACGGTCGAGAAGGAGGAGGAGGGGGAGGAGTGGGAAAAGGTGGGTCGAGAAGACGCATGAGTACGGCAATGAAGTTGGGACAGCAACAGAATCGTCAGAGGCAGAGATGGAGATGGCTGAAGACGTCGACAACAACGATAGCAAAAAAAAAAGTAGCAGCCAGCTACAATGGCATTAATATGTGCATATGAGACACCAGTACCAGTACCATTACCAGTACTACATAATAAATAACAAGGACCAGAAACAATAAAGTTGGCGGCGGAGGCGGCGGCGATGGCGACGACGACGACGACGACGACAACGACCACGATAATTATCGTCACTGTGTTGCTACGGTGGACAGTTACAACGTAAGAGTTAGTGGGGGCGAGAATGGTGGTGACAGCAGTCGATTATGAGTATGAAAATGGAGAGTATGGATGAGAATGAGGGCTGTGCTGGTGTCGGTGGTAGTGGTGGTGTTGGCCAAGTGATGAACGGGTAGCACTCTAGTAGGTGTAAATAATATATGTACATACATACACATATGCAAAAGTAGATATGTATGCATGTAAGTATATCTGTGACGAACTTGCGAGACATTCGCAGACACCGTCCGTTACCTATATGCTAATACCGATTTAGAGTGCTCAAAAAGCGATCCTCAATACGTTCTTCAGCTGGCACTTCGTACCTAAATGTGTACCTAGTAGCACTTCTGTATTGTCGTCTGCCTCCGCTGTGTGATCATCTTTTCCACATACACGCATTCACACACACGTACTACATATGTATGTGTTCTCCATCTGACTCGTCGCAATTACTGATTATACTTTTTGTCTGCTGCCCCCACCTTGTTGAATTCTCATAGAAGTCGTCGTCGTCGCCGTCGTCGCCGTTTGCACCTCAGCGGCCACATTGCTTAATGCACTTTATCATTTGATTTAGTTTTTTTTTTTTACATATATGTATGTGTTTACTTATTTGAGTGCATATAATTTCTCTGTAATTTTTCGTCATAACTTCGCAAAAAACCTTTAAAACTCAACCGCACTTTGCTTTCCTTCACATTCTTCAACTCTAAAGCACTTTTATTGCAACTAACACTTACACAAACAAAATCGTTTTTTTTTTTCATTTACATAGCATATCGGGGAAAAATAATTTTTCGCCTTTAAATATAATTTTTCTTCACAAAATTTTCGTGTTTAATTAAGATTCATTCGGTCACACTCACTTTATCTGTTCGTGTTTGTTTGTTGTTTTTGTTTTTTTTTTTTATCAGTAGGTATTATTAAATACACTTTATTGGTTGAATTTTAATTTCAATTAAAATGTTTTCCCCGTCATATTCTTATGTACCAGTACGTACACACAGCGATAACGACAACAGACTACACAAAACGAGAGACTGAGACCGAGTGAGAAAGACAGCAGTAGGAAAGCGAAGCACTTGCAATACACTGTAAATATGTATGTACGAATATGTATGCACACACATTTACGCTGTCAAAATCAGGCACAAAGTATTGAAATGTTAGAGAAAGGCAACACTGTAGCGCACACGGTTGCATGAAATGGGAAAATCCAATTAGATTGAATTAGCAGCTGATTAGGTGGCAATTAGTTGGCAGGTGGTTGAAATGGGTTAGGTAATGATAAGAAGCAGGAACCGAAGTTTGCTTAAGAATAACAATAATTTTGTTAAATAAATGAAATTATTATTTTTTTCTGCATTCAGCGTTTAAAACATCGTACATTAGCTGTAGGTGTTACTTAGAAGGCTTTACAATGCTTTCAAAGGCTCGTATCCAGATCCGGTTTTTGAGTTCCAAGTGCATTGTCTCCATACATATCTACATATTCAACTGCTTACTATTTTTAAATTTTCTTCTCTTTTCTTCTTTAATTGGGCATATTAAGTCTATTAGATGATACAAGGGTGATGCAGATCTTTGACAGCAATTGTGTGTGATATGTTAATGCTTTCTTTAATTTCTTTTAGATTATTGGTACTACAGGCCATGGCAAACTTCGTCAACTTAGCGATACTCAGTTGAAAAAATTATACTTTAAAAAACTAAAACCTCCCTATTATAATTGCCATTCGTACTGTCATCAGGTATGTAACTTGAGAATAGAAATCGCTGCATCTTATAGGCGCATCAATATTACATAGTTACATCCCGAGCGAATAAAAGGAAGGTAACAATGCGTAAAAGTGATCCAAACGTTGATTAAAAAACGAGCTTTGATTAAGATAATATTGATATGTGAACATAGTTTTACTGTTTGGTGTGGTATTTGGGCAGGCGTAGTCATCGGACCGCACGTTTTCGAAAATGATGCCGCAATAGCTGTTACGGTGAACGGATGTTATCGTGAAAGAACAAAAACTTTTTGTGGCCTAAATTAGACGACTTGAACTTGGACAATATTGCGAATATCTGCGGCATTACTGAATTACTTTCTTCATTCCAAGTAGAAAGGTTATATCTTCGCGTGCCATTTTTTCGGACGCTTTTATCTCTGATGGTTTTTATTTCTATCAGCATCGATATACATATGTATTCTGATGATTGCTGTCAGTGATATCATCTAGAACTGTCAACTTAACTCTCGGATATTAGTGAGTAGTTGCTTGTTTTTTATTTAATGTATTTAATTAAATTTAATTTCGATTTATTTTATTGAATTTTTTGAAATTTAATTTTATTTTGTTTTACTTTGTTTCATTTTGGTTTGTTTTACTTAATTCGATTCGAGTATTCAACCCATTTTTTCTTTTTTTCAAAATATGTTTTAATCCTTCTACGATTTGTCTTCACGGTAACTCTTATAAAGGGTAGTGCGAGAAACCTTACAAGGACCAACCCAATTGAACACTACCTTTTGGCAATAAGATGTCAAAGCCATACACATGTACAAATATTCGTAATTGCACATGTGTGTATGTCTCTTTAGTCGCTCTCGTGCTCTCGGTTTGTGCCATTTTCCAAAAGTGCTTTGACGTCACGCGCTTCACATGCGAAATGACAAACAAAAAGCTCCCCTTTACGACAGACTTGATAATACACGTTTTATAGACATACACACATACCAAATGCGTGTATATATCTTGGCACAAATGCATCTCTGTGGGGCTTCTTCAGCTGTTGGAGAGCTAACTGCATATTTAGATATGTAGTATGCCTTTTTCTCCACTGCTTTTCGGCATTGTTATTCTAATATATGTATGTATATAGTTACATTTGTATTTGTAATGGGTCATTTATGAATGAGTGTGCGCGGCATTGAGTGTAAAGAGCGGAAATTGACGCAACAATTAGGGAATATCTTCCTTTTCACCGTACGTTTGTTTTTTTTCTAAGAAAGCATGCCTTTGAATGCTTTTAAAGGTGCCCACACTTCAAACAGACACGGCATACGTACACGTCGGTGAGTGTGGGCACCTTAAAATTGTGAATGCTACGTTGAAATACTCGCCAGATTATTGCTCAATGGCTTGCTGGGTTATTTGCTAGGCAATTTCCTGTATGCATGTACATACTGCTGTGTGTTCATGTGCGTGCGTATGGGTTGTATGCTATTTGGATTTAGGTTGTGCACTTGATTCCGTCAATAAAGTTTCACAGCATACTTTCAGGCTGTGTGCTGTGCGTCAAGCATACCTAGATGGAGTGAGTAAAGTCTTTCCGTCTCCTATTGTCGATCAGCGGAAGAGGAAGTAAAAAAATTTGTCTGTAGCCGCCTTCGATGCGATGAGCAATGGTGGGTTTGGTTGTACCTCAAACGTTTCGTTAGTTTTGCCCCTTGCTAACTATTGGCGAATACTTCAGAGCTGCGGGGTACACTAAGGATATTTTATAAAAAATCTTAAAAAGCCTTCTCATCTACATACAAATATTTTTTGATGTGGCTTATGGGCAGCAAAGTGAGAATCTGCTGAAAATTAAAACACCAAAACAAAATATTTTCGCTTCTAGCTAAGTTGACGTGTTGAGTAATTATTGACAATTTCTTACGTAAGTTAAGCCTCAATTAACTGAACCTTAAGACACCCATGAAAGTTTTTAATATTTTTTTTTTTTTCGTCAAAAGAAGCCCAAATTGATATCACTCATCACTGGAAACTTAAGCAACTTAAGAGCACCTGCAGAGTGAATGCTGAAAGCCGCAACGATCGGGCACATTGCCATCCTATAACAGCGCTGACTACCGATTATATCATGCCAAAGGCCTGGACCAACCACAATCCCTGCACAAATCTCCCAAACATGGAGGCATGACTGTCATTACTGGAAATCAATTCAAAGTAACCCTAATGTATAGGTCTCAGATCATAGGGGCATATACCAAAATAATGCTGCAAATTAACTGGATGCGATTCTGCGCCAGAAGTGACCTACGCTGCCTCGCTGCCTCGCTGAGGGAAATCAAAAGCAGAGTTACCAGAATTTATAATACGAAAGCTAAGCAGAGGTGGAGTTTGGGCTCGGTTAGGAAGGATCAAACATAATTCATGCATAAAAAGAATCGCCATAGTTTTCTATACATTCGTTCTGTCGCAATAGCGAGATCCTGGTTTGGAAGGAGACAATTCAAAATTCCTCCGCGAATGCCCCGCCCTTTCAAGAGTGAAGCTAAAGAAACTTAGCTAACAAGTCCTGGGTTATATTTCGGGATACTGAAGCAACTGCAGTTTGATATGCAAATTTTGTTGTGATATGATTTACTGAGAAAAAAGGAAACGCCGCTTTGGCCACACTGAGGAAATAAAATTTCATTTGATTAATTTATAGTTAGTTTCTTCCTGCAGAAATGTTTATTGATTTTTATGTACATTGTACATACATTAGCTTTAATCTTAGGCTTCCTATTCGTATTCGCCTTTGTATTCCCCTTCGTTTTTTATAGTATTTATTTTCGCATTTATCTTCCTCTTAATGTTCGTCTTAGCCTTCATTTTCGTATTCGTCATTGTATATGTATTCGACTTCGTTTTCGAGTTGGTAACGTATTTGCATTAGGCTTCGTTTTTGCTCGCTTTGTCCCCTTAATTATCGTGTCTGCCTCCATCTTAGCCTTCGTTGGCGTAGTCGTATCCCTCATCGTATTCGCATTCGTATGTATTTATGTTGGCATTCGTTTTCGATCTGTCTGCGTTCTAAACCTCGCAATCATTTTTGGCATTCGTGTTGGTATTCGGCTTCGTGTTTATCTTCATACTCGGGTTTGTCTTCGTCTCAGGCTTAGGCATAGCTTTCGTCTTAGTCTCCATATTCGTCTTTGTTTTTGCATTCGGATTCGTCTCCGTCGTAGTATTCCTCTTCATATTCGACTTTCATCAGCTCAGGGAAAGGGGAGACCAGGTTGTTAGCATGTATGTATGTATAAACAAAATATTTATTCGATCAAAACATGGTGGGTGGGCAGTGTTCCAATTGCCAGCTCTACATGGTTGTCATGCAGAGTCCGCAAAAAACCCCGGACAAGTTAGACAAGGCCCAGAATGCTTTGAAGTGCCATGAACTTATTACTTTAGAAAGTTTTTATATGGCACTTGAGAAGTGCATATGAAAACATTTCATAAATTTCACAAAGGAAGTTTTTGCACATGCAGCAGTAAATAACATGCATTTAGGCGCTCGGTTAGTAGTTGCCTAAACAGACTTCGTTATCGATTTCATCTTTGCATTCGCCTTTGTTTTTATTCGTCTTCACATTCGTCTTCCTTTAAATATTCGTATTAGCCTTTGTCGTATTCCCCTTCGTATTCGCTTTCGTGTGTATTCATTATCGAGTTCGTCTTCGATCCGTCTTCGTCTTCGTCTTCGATGTCGTGTTCGTGTTCTTGTTCGTCTTCGTATTTGCATTCGTTTTTAATCGTCCGCATTTTCGCATTTTCGCATTCATCTTCATTTTAATATTCGTCTTAGTCTTTGCTTGTATATCGATGGCTGAGTGGAAGATCGACCTATCTCGGCAGCCAGTTCGAAAACGCTCTATCTCAAAAAACTTTTCAAGAACGCCCTATTTCAGAATTCGTTTCAAAAACGCCCTATCTCAGCTGCCGATTCAAAAACGCCCTATATCAGCATATTTTCAATACATTTTGAAGTGGGATAGGGCGTTTTTGAACCGAATTTTGAGATAGGGTGTTTTTCAATTAAATTCCGAAATAGGGCGTTCTTGAAGAGTTTTTTGAGATAGAGCGTTTTCGAACTGGCTGCCGAGATAGGTCGATCTTCCACTCAGCCATCGATATATGTTCGTATTCGTATCGTATTAGTCTTGGTCTTCATGTTGAGTATTACACAGCTTCAACCTTAGTCTTATTTTTCGTGTCTTGGACTTAGTCTAAACTTAAAATAAAGAGAGGGAAATGGATGACATTACATCAAAAACGAC